GGGGCAATGCCGAGTTGGGAGCTATGCCGGAGGCGCCTCGGGGTTTGTTTCCCCGCTGGCGCTGGCACCCTGTGGTGACATCTGGGGACGGTGCACCTTGGGCGGTGCTGGGCAGGGTGATGTGGTGGCCACTGGCAGGTCGGAGCTGGTGGGCGGCTGGGCTGCCTGGAGGTAGTGAGGGGTGAGGGAGGACCTCAGCTAAACCCCTGAGCCCTCCCCGAGCCTCCGGCGCTTGGGGCCAAAGCTGTCCCGGGGGGTTTGTGTCACTGCCGTGCCTGAAATACCGTGTGGCACTGGGGGGTGGAGGAGACACCTCAGACGGTGCCCAGAGGTTGGCTGTCGGGTCCGTCCTTGCCGGCTCCTGCCCTGGCATCGCAGGGGCAATGCTTGCTGCTGCCTGCCATCACCTGCCCCCCGAAAGAAAATTGTCCAGCGCCTGTGGCCTGATGCGACAGAGGTAGCTCCATCCCCGGGGCACAGCAGAGCCGGGGGTCCTGTTTTCCTCCCCGTGGAGCTGGGGTTTCTCCCCTCGGAGGGCAGAGCAGCCTCCGGCAAGAGGCCAGGTTACACGGGCTCTTTTGGCTCAGTTGGGTCGGATTTCCAGGCAGAATTTCCGGATAAAAGCAAGAAAGGGGAAAAAAAAAAATAATAAAGCCCCCATCCTGCCCCTTACACCCCCCAGGGTGCCAGGTGCTGCTTCCCCAGGGCTTTGAGTCCCCCTTCTGCTCTGGTTCAGCCAAGGAAGGCTTCTCCTTCCCCACCAGCCTGTCAAACACCAAATAATCTCGAAACACTCCTTGCTGGGCAGGTCACCCCTCCGCTACCTCGCATCCTGGGCTCAGCGGGCGACCGGCTTTGCACGGCTCTGACCCAAACCCCCGGCGTCCCCCGGGCAGGCAGGCAGCCCCTCCCCGTGCCATCGCACCCTGCCAGCGGTGCCACGAGGCAGGCGCGACCCACGCCAGGCTTTCCCACGCGATGCTTGCCTCCATCCACGTGAGACGGTGGTGGTGCGAAGGCAGCCTCCGAAGCAATAGGGAGCTGGAGTTGCATTTCCAGTTGCATTCCTTCTTTTTTTCCTTAATTCTGTGCACAGGAAAGTGAGGGGGCCCCCCCCCCTTTTTTTTTTTTGATCTTTCGGCTTGTTTTTACACCAGACTTGCAGTTCACCTGCATCTTGTCCTGCAGGGCGGGTGGCAAAGCACAGCCTGCATTATCAAACGGTGTCGGGGTGATGTGCCGGTGAGGGGTGAGCAAGAGGCCGGAGGGGGTCGTGGTTCCTCCTTCTTGGCTGCTCCCTGTGAGACACGGGGAGCCCCCCCAAGGCAGGATCTGAGGCTGCTCCATCCTCCGGCAAAACCATCTCATTTCTGGTGTACAGGTATTCAGCGCCACGCTGGGCAGTAAAGCAAAAGGATGCCAGCCCCATCTCTTCCCCTACGGCCAGGTGTCCATCTGACAGAAGCACCGCTGTGCTCTCGGTAACACTTTCTATTAAGAGTAGGTCCAGCTGAGCTCTGGCACGGTGCGTTTCACCGCCCCGTCCCCGCTGCCGGGGCCTTCCTTCCCACCCCCAGCAGCCGCTTCGGGAACCAAACCCCGTTCCCCTTGCTCCCCAAAAAAAAATTAGGAATAAAAAGAGGAAAGGTGACGGGGGGACATGGGTCTGTCTCAGGTGGCTGCGAGAGCCCCGGCCGGGGAAGGGCAGCAGCACTCATCTCCATCCCTCGCCTTCACGGCAAACCTACCGGGCTTCGCCACCAGCCCCCCGACCTCATCTCGTCAGGATTTATTAACACGTGTAAGTCCACGTTATCGGTCTCTGGCTAGCTTTATCCCTCCAAATTGTTTGAGAAGGAAACTCCTTGGTAAATGCTAATAATAAAGCATTTATAAAGTGCTCCGACGTACACATATCAACGACTAAGCCAATACATTGTTTGTTATAACCCTATAGCCTGCAGTTTATAGCACAATTAGTTACAGGTTTTTATAGCATCTATTTAGTATTTTGGAAAAAAAAAAATGTTATAAATATAATTGTTATATTCTATTGTACTTTATAGACAGAGAAAGTTATATTAGTAATAATAACTCTTAACTGCTTCGACAACATTTCGCAGCTCCCAAGAAAAAAGAGGGCTACAAAGAGCTACTTTCCCAAGAGCTCAGGAGGGGGTAGGTGGTGGTACCCGCCGGGTACAGGCAGGGAAACCGGGGGGGGGGGGTGATTCGGATGGTACCTGCCAGGTACAGGCAGGGAAACTGGGGCAGGGAGGTCCGGAGCGTGGCCAGGCTCGCGGGGATCAGAGCAGCCAGGAGCACAGCAGCAGCTACGTCCGACCTGCGCCTTGCCCCTGCTCACACCCTTAGTACAAAGTGTTACCGCTCGCCCAACGCCACCCTGGTCCTGCTAAAAATAACCTGCTCCTGAGCCTGGGAGAGGCTGAGGATGTCCCCACCGCTGTCCCCAGGGCAGTGCCGGGTTTCTGCACCCGTGCGCGTGGTGCCGCAGGAGGCGACGCCTGGGTTCGGTCCAGCCCCGGCGACGATGCTTCCCTCTCCTCCTCCTCCTCCTGCCCCGGTGAGTGTCCCAGTTGCCTGGACTTGGCTTTACTTCCCCCCCCCCGGACGACTTGTCGGAGATTCCCGAGGTGTCTACACCGCCTGTAACGCCCTGCACCCCCTTCTTTGAAACCAAATTAAAAATCAGGTCTGTCCCCCCTTGTTCTGTACCCGCCTCGCTGCTCTTTGCCCCTGGCGCCAGATTGCTCGTCGCCCCGCTGCCGCTCTCACAGCCCTTCTGCGGGAGGCGATGGTCCAGGGTGGGGGAATTTGTTTCTCCCCTGCAAAAGGAGTATTTGTGCAAGCAGGTTTTGCATCCGCAGGTCCCCGGCTCTCACCCTTGCTGCTCCTCTGCAGGGGTGTGGGTCTGGCTTCATCCTCTCTTGGAAGATGGGGCTCTTCTGGCCCCTGGGGTACTCTCGGAGGGATGTTTGCCGTGCACACGGACAGCGGACCAGCAGCATGAGTTCCCTTCACCAGCTGTGGCCCCCCCATCAGGATTAGCCTCTCTCCCTCCCCACCCACACAGAAAAGATGCTGCAACAGAAGAGCTTTGGTATGTCTCTATTGCACAAACAACATCGCCGGGTCCTTGGCTGCAGGCTCGGGAGCGCGGCGGTGCCTGCAACGAGCCTTGGTGACAGCCATCACCCCGACCGTCAGAGCCGAGGTGACCACCGATCACCCCCCCCCGGGTCTCCCACCTTCGCCCATAAGGAAGCCCGCGGGGCTCAGCAAGGGTCACCTCCTGTGACCCACCCCCCCCAAACTGAGCGACTCAAACACTCATTAAGGCTCTTGGTGCTGTAAGACATGAGGATCATTAGTCCCATTGTACAGACGGGGAAGGCTGAGGTATGAGATGGTTTGCATGCTTGGATGCCAGGTGCAGGGTGTCCCTGCTTTAGGGGGACACCGTAGGGGCTGGCTACACCCCTCTTCCCTGCAGAAAGTGCCCCAATTCTCTCAATTCGGGGCTGGATTTTTCCACCCAAACCAGTACAAGAGCACCTGTTTAGGAGGAGAATTACCAGTCCAAGAAAAAACCCCACGGGGAAGGAGGGGGTGCAGCTCCAAAGAGCAAGGCGGGGGGACACCCCCCGGGTTGCCTGGGAGCAAATTCGTCGCGCTGCCCACGCTGACCTTGGGCACCGCAGCTCCGGCTTCAGCATCGCTCCCACCTTTGGATGAGTGAGGGGTCCG